CGGGGTTTGTAGACAAGGCTAAATGTGACTACGTCTGTCTGTTACATAGAGCTTTATATGGACTAAAACAATCCTCAAGAGCATGGTTCGACAAGTTCAGCTCTTACTTGTTGGAAGTTGGTTTCAAGTGCAGTATAAAAGATCCTTCTTTGTTTATCTACTCTAAGGGAAAAGATGTCATAATGCTCTTATTGTATGTTGACGACATGTTGATAACAGGAAATGCATCTGCGACTCAACAGAAGTTTCTCAAAGATATCAACACAAGGTTCAGAATGAAGGATCTTGGTAAAATGGAGTACTTCTTGGGGATTCAGGCTAAGTTTCATAGTGATGGTTTGTTCTTGTCTCAAGAAAGATATGCTCTAGACTTGCTGGCGAATGTAGGAATGAGTGACTGTACTCCAATAGACACACCACTGCCAATATAGTTAAGCAAAGTTCCGGATCAAGACATTCCTTTCCAGAGTCCAACCTACTTCAGAAGCTTGGCTGGCAAGCTACAATATCTGACATTGACAAGACCGGATCTGCAGTTCTCAGTCAACTACATATGTCAAAAATGCATGCTCCATCAGTGTCAGATTATCGCCTTCTGAAGCGCATTTTGAGGTACGTTAAAGGCACAGTTGGTTGTGGACTCACCTTATACCAAGATACTGACTTCACACCGAGAGCATATAGCGACAGTGATTGGGCTGGATGTCCCCACACACGAAGGTCAACTGGTGGCTTCAGCACATTCCTAGGAAGCAACATAATATCTTGGTCTTCTAAAAAGCAACCAACGGTGTCACGAAGTTCAACCGAAGCTGAATACAGATCTCTGTTCGAAACTGCTTATGAATTGAGTTGGATTTGCTTTATCATGCGTGAGATAGGAGTTCCTATTCTTGTCACTCCAGAGCTTTACTGTGACAACCTCTCCTCAGTTCATCTCACTGCAAATCCAACATATCATAAAAGGTCTAAACATTTCGAGTTGGATTATCATTATGTTCGAGAGCGAGTGGCCCTTGGAGCTCTCGTGGTGAGACATGTTCCTGCATACCTTCAGCTAGTAGATATTTTCATAAAGTCTTTGCCCTATGCTGCATTCGACGATCTGCGTTTCAAACTTGGCATCACTTCATCACCTACGCCAAGTTTGAGGGGGCATATTGAACAGAGTAAACAAAACGCTGCAGTTTCGGCACTAGACTCAAGAGGTAAGGTGAAGATGGGCAAAGAAGAGACGAGGCCCAAAGGAGAGATTAAAGTGAGCCCACACGCCAAAGACTCATCAGCTCAACGGTTTGATTCAAAATCTGAAGATAGAGACAAAAAGAAAGGACTGATGACGTCTGGGTGCAGAGGTGTTAATGGAGTTAAGTTGTACAACACCTTCTCAGCCCTTGATGCATTGGACGACTAGGATCTAGATCTGTTTTGGATCTCTAGGGTTTTCACATTGTTCTATATAAGCTTATCTCATGTAAACAAAAGTTTGTTAACTTCTTTAACTTCTTCATCTTCAAGTTTTATACAAAAGTTTGTTAACTTCTTTAATGAGTACCCGCGCGATAGTAGCTTAACAGGAGGTATCCGCCAGGAGTTAAGTGAAAAGACTATGAATGGAAGGTAATTTTGAAATTCTGGATAGAAAATATGAAGGACGCCGTAAGATTGAGTCATGCCGAGTCATGGCATAGTTATGGCTATTAGGACCGGGGTGGCAGACAAAGCTGGAACGGGCCAACGAGCTGCGATTCGGATAGTCATTTAGGAAGCTGGGAGACAATGGTTCGTGTAAGATCTGTTGTGTTAGGCCGACACGTTTCTGGCGATAGGTCCTTACGTCTAGGATGATTGGTGTCGTGTTGTTGAGTAATCAAGTCAAGTCTATGTTGTAGCAATGATTGAGTTCACTGAGTGTGATCACTAGGTTGATAGAAGACATATGGAAATGATGATGTTATGTTGTAGTATGTGCATTTGATTAGATGATTGAAGTGGCTAACCAGCTCTCCTTTCGCATTAGGTAGTGTAGAGTATCATGTGGAGAGGCTGGTATGGAACCGCTTCACTGAGTATTCCATTTACTCATGTCTTCCATTCCATTTCCCCTGTGCACATGACTGTAAGTAGAAATATATGGATTTGGTTGGTATTTGAGCAAAGGTATCCGTCCGATGACTCATGGAACCAGTAATAGAACACGTTGAGTGGTATAAAATGAGTAGACGCGTGTCCATAACATCCGGTTGAATCCTTGGTCGAACAGTGGGAGATCAGGACGTTACAATAATACCTCATAACATCTGAATCCACCTTGACCGAGTTTGTTACATTTTCTAAAATTGTATTGGTTGCTGCTTCAACACCTTTAAAATCAAACTGCAATGAGCCAGCAATTGTACTTTAGTAGTATCATCCCTGCCTACAAGATCATAAGTTTTTAACCATTAAGCTCCGTAAAACATTCTAAGGTGCAAATACTAGTGTATTATGAGCATTTTTAATCATCTGAAATTAGGTTTCAATTTGTTCTTATAGGCTCCATTGACTCCGCTGCTCTGATACCGTGCAGATTGCTCTACGTTAAATTTGGTTTCCTCGAAATTCCTCTATATTTGTCATCTTTAAATTTGGAGGCACTCTAATACCACAAGAAAGGAGACTTGGTTACAAAAGTAATTGTGAAGCAGCTGATAAGTCTTTGTATTTACTTGGTCTTCGTCTTCGGTGGACGGAAAACTTTCCAATCGTTACCATTTTCCTTTGCCTTCTTTATGTTTTAGTATGTCTTTGTTTTTTTCCTCAGCGACAATCCTTACATTTATATATTACTTAATTTTTAGTTTATCTTTTTAATCTTTTTGTATGAAATGTAAAATTTATTTGAAAGAATTGGCCATTTTATTATACTTTTCTAAACACTATCAATTTCCAGAAAGTATATATGTTTAATTTATTGGTTCTAAATGATGTGAAATGTGGCACCATCTCTACATATGAGATTGTATAACGTGTTTTCTGGGTGCTCTATCTGCAGAAAATTCACAAAATAGAAATTGCATGGGTCGAGGACAACTTGCAACTAAAGTTTAATTGGCACAAGAGATGTCCATAGGATACATGCTATATAACATAAATTTTTATATAACATGCGTATGAATCTTGAAACTTATTTTTATATAACATAAATTTCATTTATATATTACATTTAATAATAGTAAATCTTTTATAATTGATATTGTACGTATTAATATAAACTATTTCAAATGATATAAATAATAATTTTGTGTATACATCATATATCTTTTCTGTTATATTTGGAAATATCTACCATCAAATATTAATATCTTTTTAACAGATTCGTTTTATTCTAATAAAAATTCATGACCATGCTGGTCTTACAATTCGCAAGAAAGCGTACTTCAGAGATACACCAACACAAAAAGGCAAAAATCATTAACTACCAGAATAGATCGATACCAGTAGGTAACATTCAACAAGGAGATTTTAATAGACCTCTATATTTCCTGATTCAGAATATCTTCGTTGAGGTGAAACATAGCTGAATTAGAGACCACGAGAGAGACAGAGTTATCCTTGCAACTTACAACTCTTTTCATTTACAACTGAACTAGCTTGACGCTTTATCTTGTTCAAAAGAATAAGGAACCACCGAGATCAAATGCTTGAAAATCAATTCAAGAAAACATGGATAAAAATGATTTAATCTTGTGACTACCCACGATTTATGTAAATTTGAGCTGGAGCTCCCAATCACTTAACTGGAGCCGGAGAAATCGTCCAAGAACCTGGAGATTAGCTATGATCAACACCACAATTGTACTGTTGCATCAAGACCAAGGTAAAAGACTCCTCTTAAACACGACTTCTTCACCACTTATAACATAACTAGAACCCGAAAACTCGAATCGAAACCGATCTGATAAAAATAAATCTAAATCGATCCGAATCTAACATAAATACCGAATGAATCTTTTTTATGGTATTTTGGGTTATGGGTATTATCCGAACCGAACCTAAATAGATATCCGATAAAACCCAAACTATTCAAAATCTCAGAAAAGAACTTGTACCAAACATGATCTCAGTTCCTAATATGTATTCAAAATACTTTAATATATTATTGAGTAACTAAAATAATTATCTATTACATGAAGATTAATGATAGAAGGTGATGGTTAAAACTTAAAGTTTTAGATTTCGGTTTTATTTTCATTGAATAATGCTTATAATTTTATGAGAACTTGGTTTTCGTTTTATACTTTTTTTTTGTTCTATTAATAACTATATTTATCTTCCGTTTGATTTTGAATGATGACATATGATGTTCCTATCTTATTTTTGAATTAATTTCACTTATGCTTTAGTTACAAATACGTAAAAATCATGTACGTTAAATCCGAATAACCAATTTTACTTATATTTTGATTATAAAGCAGGTACAAATCATGTATTTTTTAAATCAAAGAACCGATTGGGATCCGAACTTGAAACTATAACGGGTTATATCAGCTCTTTGAAGATTTACTAACCCTGACCTAAACTCGATAGAACCTGAATCGATCCCGAACCGATCTCGAATCAAACTTTCATATAACCCGAATGGGGCTGATTTTCATAAACCCAAAAAAATCGAAACCCGATTGAACAAAACCAAAACTCGATTGGGATCATGAATGCCCAGGCCTAAACATAGCTACAATAAAACTTTCAGCAAAATAATCAATAGATTTACATTTACAATTATATAACTTACAACATAAATTTTACAGCTAAATCTATTTAAGTTAATTCGACCAATCATCCACAATAGTACAGTACAAGCTTGACCTTTTCCACTTTGTAAAATTTTTTCTTTAACTAATGAAAAAGGAGTTTACCTTTCTTACTTGCATTGGCTTATGGTCGTCACAAACCAACAGAGGGTTCATTTTATAAATGTGACCTTCATAGTCTGAAATCTCAACCCCATATTCGGAGAAATTAAATCATGTCTTCCCGTGCCTCTTTCATCCTCCTTTTCCTTTTCTCCTTCCTCACTAGCTTCCGAGCTACAGCGGTAAGGCCCAACTTTGTACACCATGATTGTCGAAATACGACAAGGTATTCAGCGAACAGCACTTACTTCACCAATCTCAAAACACTTTGGTCCTCTCTCTCTTCTACCAATGCCTCATACTCCACCGGTTTCCAGAACGCTTCGGCTGGACAAGCTAGGGATATGGTCACGGGACTTTTCCTCTGCCGAGGAGACGTCTTGCCTGACGTTTGTCGTGACTGCGTCTCCTTTTCTGTCACCGATATCGTAACTAGGTGTCCCGATCAGAGAGAGGCCATTATCTATTACGAGGAGTGTATGCTCAGATACTCCGACCGGAATATTTTCTCGAACCTCACACTCACCGGAGATTTTTTGATGTATAACGCTAATAGTATTACATCTGTGGAAGAAACAGCTCGGTTCGAAAAAGTGGTGTTGACCACAATTATTGAAGCTGCCTTTGAAGCAGCGAACAACTCTCGATATTTCTGTACGAGAAGTGTAAGGACGTACCAGTTCCAGAATTTGTACAATTTCCAGTTCCAAAATATCGAATCCCAGAATTTGTACGTCCTGGTTCAGTGCACTCCTGATCTGACCAGACAAGACTGTTTGTCCTGTCTGGAACTATCTATCTACAAATTGAATTTTGAACGCACTGGAGCAAGACTTCTTTTACCTAGCTGTAATTCGAGGTACGAACTTTACCAATTCTACAACGAAAGCGTCGTTGATACACCACTGCTGCCTTCGCTGCCTCCAACGCCCCTAGTGGCCTCTACTCCTCCGGTGTCATCTGCTCCACGACCTAGTTAAGTCTTTCTTCTTTGAAATTAGCAATACGACTAGGGCTGTTTTATTTATTTGATCCTTGTGACTGAGTTTATATTAAACAAAATGGTTTTCTAAACGCAGGTAATGGTGGGAATTTAAATGTGTTAGCCATAGCCGTCCTTGCGGCTATTATAATGGCTTTGCTACTTTTCATAGCTGGTTATTGTTTCCTTGCAAAGAGGACAAAGAGGGCTTCTGATAGTGCACCAGCCTTCTATGGTTAACATTTCAATGATTAGCAATCTAAATTGGGTTTGATTAGTGATTACTATCAACGATCAGCCACCTTATTTCTTCTTCTTACTCTTACTGATTACTGCGACTTTTATTGTGCACCAGGAGATGATATAACAACAATAGACTCGCTGCAACTTGATTATAGAACAATTGAAGCTGCAACAAATGATTATTCAGATAATAATAAGATTGGTAGAGGTGGATTTGGCGAAGTTTACAAGGTAAAATCAGTGATGTGGTCAGGATTTAGGGTCCTAAAACAATATTTGATAGTATAATTATATTTGAACTTAAGTTTTTTTTTTGTATAAATTATGATTTTATAAGCTTTTGACAAACAAGTTTTTCTTATCAAAAATAATAATTGATATAATTAAATATATTATATATGAAAATATAATAAAATCAAAGATGGAAAAGAAATTTTAATCTTGAAATCTATCCATAAATATGAAAAATGAACTGTATAGCTATCTATACTATTAGAGAAGAATTCCTAATAGGGTTATACTCTTAGTTTTCTACCAAATTACAATACTATGCCACCGCTATTTAAATGTAATTTCAATATTATTTATTTTAACTAGTCAAACAAATATTCTCATTAAACGTTTTTGCAAATATCATTGGTACATCTCTTTATATTGCCTAACAGAAAATATTGAATCATTAATGAATCAGAATTTTCGTAACTAGATATTCCCTTTACTATTAAACTTACCATTTCGTTTCATGTATTAGAAAATCTACACAAAGAGATGTAATGACAATTTTTATTAACAACTTAGAAATCAGAATAAGTCATCATACGAAATTGACATATTCAGGGTTCTGGACTTGAACTTCATAAAAGATTTAAAAACCTCACAGATTCATAAGTCATCATAAGTCATCATAAGTCATTAGCATGATCTTTGGAGGATAATATTTTGTTATGAACTTGATCTCATTCTACACAAACACATTTATATATAAATATTTTTAAAGACGTGCGTTTATTTCAATATTGTAAAAACTTTTAATTTCTTTTAAAAAAGAAAAAAACTTTATCATAATACCCTTTGAAGATATTTATTTGATCATGAATTATGTATCCTAAATATGTGTACATCAATGTACGTTTAAAATTCCACTCTTAACAAATCATAAAAATCTATTTTTGAGAATCTATATTATTAAATCAAGTACAACTTTACTGGAATCCTACTTATTGTGTTACGAATTTTATACATTTTAATCATGGATATACTATTATTTTAAAAAATAATAATTAGAATTTAAAGTTTAACAAAATATTATGTCAATATATTATTAATTGATAAAGGTAAAATATTAAAAATTAATTAACACTTATGTTATATGATTAATTTTTATCTTTTAACTATGGGTATCTATTTAATTTCGGGTGTGGTGTATTTTCAGTTTTATTTCTCATAAAGTTATACAATTTGTTTCTTTATCAATTACGTTTGGTTTTGGTTTCATTTGTTTGTTCCAAAATATTGGCCAAACCTATAGAATATGTTTTTTATAGAAATTCATATAATCTTTTTTATCCATTCAGAGAATAAATCCGCGCTTTGAAAGCGCGGATCAAAATCTAGTAAGTTTATATAGTAAATGCAGATCGCCTAAGTATATCAATGAATTAAAATATATTTTACGAAATATAAGTGATGAAAATCAGTAAAAAGACAGAAAGACAGGTAAATACATAAATAAACTAGATGACTTTCCGCGATATCGCAGGATAATATTATTCGAATACATTTGGGATAAATAAGGTTTGTGAATATTTAAATTTATAATAATTGTGATAAATTAAATTTGTTAATAAAAACAAAAAAAAAGTTGATTGGTTAATAATGAAAAATAATATTAAATTTTATTCTATTATATTAATCATCTTTCACATGTATCTTATAATTAGGAAACAAAATTATAAATAAAAACTACCATAAGCGTTTTTTATTTTTAAAACTGACTACCATATATGAATTGTAATATCTATTATAATATTGATATATAATATAATTTTTTTAATCAATATTAATTACTATGTATAATTTAGTTTTGTACACAACTAATCAATAATATTAAATTAATTTCAAGATATTTTGAAATATAATATAGATTTATACATTACGAGATACACTTAGGAATATCTTAAAGTTTTGATCGTTTTTTTTTGTTAATATTTTGATCATTATATTGAAGTCAAATTTTGATCATTATATTGACTTCTAATTCATTATATATATATATATATATATATATATATATATATATATATATTGAGAAAGACTGAAGAAAAATAATAGAATTATGAACACATAGTATATATTATTTGCATATATAGAGGAGAGAGGTATGAGAAGATTTTATGGGAAGAGTTTCTGACAAAATCTGAAAAGATTGCTTTAATACATGTCTTCAATTTATTGGTCCAGCTGCTTTTAAAATATTTTAGAACTAATTTTTCTTTTTCTTTGTATTTAAGAAATTTTTAACAGTTTCTGATCACTGCGAATGCGCTTATAGTTAAGAATTCATATCATATTTGCTATTGATTAAAATTAATTGAAATTAAAATTTTTGATTAACAAATATAAAGCCTATAATAAAATATCACATATATTATTATTCATGAATTAATACAATCTGAACATGAAAGAAACCTCAAATGAAGGTTTTCATGTCCAGAACCTTATGGTTTTACAGTAAAACCTTCATACAGTTTTCATTACTAACCAAGTTTTTCAAAATTATATACAGTCTTTCTAAAATTTTTAAAAATGTAACCGTAATACCAAAAGAAAGAGATGAAAATGTATCTAAGAATTTTAAATATATACATATCTATTATTAAATATAAATTAAAATAAACTATTTTCTTTTCTACCCTAATTTTATTTTAACTAAATCAATATTTATATTATTATACTGGTATAAAATAATAAAATCTGAAATATTAACAAATTTTTATTTTAAATTTTTTAAATTTTTTATAGTTGCACATAATACAGGAAAATACCTAGATTAATTATATTTTAACAAGGTTGCTTTTTGCAATGTTCCAATTGCTTTGGGTATTAATTACTAGTATACACCCTTAACTGCGCCTGAGGATGTGTATATTTCTCTGAAATTTTGTGCCAACACATTTATAAGTAACTGAGATGATGCTGGTTAGGGTACTTTTTTGAATGGGACTGAAGTTGCCGTGAAGAGACTGTCCAAATTATCAGGACAAGGTGAAACAGAGTTCAAGAACGAGGTTATTGTTGTTGCAAAGCTTCAGCATAGAAATTTGGTAAGGCTTGTAGGGTTTTCTCTAGAACGGGAAGAAAGGATACTGGTCTATGAATATGTGCCCAACAAAAGCCTTGATTACTTCCTCTTTGGTCAGTTGCATTTATTTCTTTGTTTCAGTGACTCTTTAGCCTTTTAAAAAAATATTGGGTAGCAGATGATTAAATTTATATATGTACACACATAGACCCCACAAAGAAGGATCAGCTATGCTGGACACGACGATACAAGATCATAGGAGGGATTGTTCGGGGAATGCTATATCTTCATCAAGATTCACGGCTAACAATAATACACCGTGACCTCAAAGCAAGTAACATTCTCCTAGATGCAGATATGAATCCAAAAATTTCTGATTTTGGAATGGCAAGGATCTTTGGGATGTACCAAACTCAGGAGAACACGAGCAGAATTGTCGGTACCTAGTAAGTAATCCAATTTACATCTCAAAATTAAGTTGATGTTTGTTGAACATGATTTTGTCAATATACTAACGTTTTGTGTGGATTTCAGCGGCTACATGTCTCCTGAATATGCTATGCATGGCCAGTTCTCAATGAAATCTGATGTCTATAGCTTCGGAGTGTTAGTTCTTGAGATTATAATTGGTAGGAAGAATAGCAGCTTCTATGAGAGAGACGGTGCACATAACTTGGTTACATATGTAAGTTGAGGCAATCAATTTTTCTATATTTTTTTGGTTTAACATAATTTTATATATACCTCTCTTACAATAAGCAACGATTGCAAAAATCAATTGGTTGATTGATGTTATAGGCATGGAGACTTTGGACTAACAAAGAAGAGTTAGACCTTGTGGATCCAGTTATAGTAGCCAATTGCCAGAAGCGTGAAGTGGTTCGATGCATCCATATTGGTCTTTTATGTGTTCAAGAGGATCCTGCAGAGCGTCCAACCTTTTCAACCATTTTGCTGATGCTCACTAGTAACAATTTGATTTTACCAGTGCCTCAACAACCAGGGTTTGTCATTCAGACTAGACCTAAAGCAGATCTGCCTAATTCCAATCAATCTACGATGACCAAGTGTGTTATAGGGTCTGTTAGTGATGCGTCGGTCACTGATTTATATCCTCGTTGATTATGGTATTAACCTTCACGCTTGGTCTAATTGATACTTATTGAAAATAAGTTTTTTTTTTTGTTCAAAACTTGTTTCAGCGCTCTGTAATCCGGTATGTATGTAGTAGCTTCATTTTGATTTGGTTTTATTTTAGTTTTTAAAAATTGACTTATAAATTATGTTATTTTTCTGGTATGTTATTTTACTTTTTTGAGTGAGATTAATTGTAGAGAGGACATGAGTTAAATCATTATCAAATAATGTTTAGAGGATTTCGTTGTAAAGTTGATGCGAACGGTTAACAATTATGGTTTTGAGGTTCAAAAACGTGGGACTATATTTTAAAACTTGTAGGATTTCATCTATATTATTAAAATTGAAGTATTTTTTGATACTGTTTGAAAATAAAGATAGTAGGATAAATGAGAATTGTTTGGAAACATAAATAGTAGATTAAATATTTTTTTTATTTCCACATTTAGCCATTACATTTATAATAAATTAAATACTTTCATTTTGTATTTCTTTTTATTTACAAATTTTGTCATTTCATTTAAAATCAATTTAAATTAATTAATTACAATGATTTTTTTTGTGTTGAAAATAAAAACACAAATTGAAATATATAGTATATATCTATAAAATAAATTTTAAATATAGTATTACTTTATTTATTTTAGTCAAAAATAAATTTTTCAGAGTTCAATTTTTTTTAAAAAAAAACAACATATCATAAAATTAATAATAATTCCTAGAAAACTAATGCAAAAATTAATTTTTAGTATGTTGTTTCATTTTAAAATAATTTAACAAAAAAATAACATGTTAATATATGAACAGTACAATTATACCAAATTGCATCAAGTTATAAAATTTCTAATATAATATTATGAATAAATAAAAAAATTATTATTAAATATTTATATTATAAAATACTATATTTTATTCTATATGTAAATTACAAAAAATAAAAATATTTTTTTTTATAAAACCAGTAATTTATAAATTTATGTTGAATAGTTTAACTCAAACACCCACATGGGGGTTCAGGTCAAGTTTCGGCCTCCTATCTTTCACTGCAGGGAATATGATATTGGCTCCAGTCAAAATTTGTAGAGGTCTCTTTGACTCGGTCACTGGGATCCAACCACTAATCTTTTTAAATTTCTACTTTTCTTTTCTTTAGCTTCGCCTGGAGTCACCTCCGGACAGGGCACCGACAGGGTCACCGGACTTTTCCTTTGACGAGGAGACGTCTCGCCAGAAGTCTGTTGTAGGTGCATCTCCTTTGTAGTTAAAGTCACCTCAAATTTAAGAGGGAGAATGTTGAAGTAAACTTAAAGAAAGTTTGAGTGGCAAGAAATCCTAGTACTAATAGATTTATGATCGTTGGAGATAAGGATCAATGCTACATTTAGGAGTTATATAAATATTTATGTTTACAATTTAAGATATGTGTGGCCTTATATAAAGCGATGTCGAGTTATGTGTTAGATAGATTTAGAGAGTTTAAATTTTGAGTGAGTTTCTTAAGCAATAAGAGAGATATTATTCTCATAATCTATGAGTCTTATACAGAACTATATATTTTGAGCTATTCTTTTTTTTTTTTTTTCAACTTTAAACCCAAAACGTTTTACACATGATACATGATGTACAAAGGGTAAGTCTTTTTCTTTAAATAAATTTAACATTATATTCAAAAAAAGAGTTGGTTTTTGCTTATACCACGTGGGGATTTTTATAATTATCAATTTATCATCAGTCAAAACCATAGAAAATTATGTTTGATGTACTGCCAAAAACTAAATTTATAGTCTCGTCAAAATGCCAACTACGAATAAGTCTCTTCCTTTGCAATCTTGACGTGCATTTATACCCTAATGAACCGATCAAAGGCTTTATGCATAAATTATCGCATTTAATATTTTTTATACCATCTTTTATAAGTTTAGTAGAAGAACACAAGTTGGACAAGAATTCTCAACTTTGACTTTACTTCCGTCACTCGTCACAAAACCATCCTCTGTTTTATTGTAATCTATAGAAAGGGAGAAAATCAAAATTCAAAATTTATTTCATAAGTATATCGGAGTTTCTCAAAGCCAGTTATGTCTTCCAGGGCCTCTTTGATCTTCCTTTTCATTTTCTTCTTTCTTACTAGCTTTAGAGCTACTGCTCAAGATCCTACCTACGTACACCACATATGTTCAAACACGACAACTTACACCAGAAACAGCACTTACTCCACCAATCTCAGAGCCCTTTTATCCTCTCTCTCTTCCAACAATTCCTCTTACACGACCGGATTCCAAACCGCCACCTCCGGACAAGGCGCCGACAGGGTCACAGGACTTTTCCTTTGCCGAGGAGACTTCTCGCCGGAAGTTTGTCAAAGATGCGTCGCCTTTGTCGTCAACGACACCTCAACTCGGTGTCCTAATGAGAGAGAGGTCGTGCTCTATTATGATGAGTGTATAGTAAGGTATTGTTGATTCATTCACATAATTAATATACAACCCTAAAACGGCTATTTGCTTCAATTTATTTTTTTGCTTCAATCTTGTTTTTCTCTCTTAAGTTTATTTTCTTTATTCGAGATTAATTAGCCTTTGTTCACTACAGATACTCTAACCGGAACATTCTCTCGACGTTAGACACCAATGTAGGACTAATCTTGAATAACGGCCAAAATATTACATCTAACCAAAAAGACCAGTTCAGAGACTTGGTCTTGTCAACAATGAACCAAGCCGCCAGTGAAGCTGCGGAGAGTTCTAGAAAGTTTGATGCAAGAAGAGCTAATTGGACTAGATCACAGAGTTTATACGGTTTGGTTCAGTGCACTCCTGATCTGACAGGGCAAGACTGTTTGAGTTGTCTGCAACAGGGCATCAATCAGTTACCTGTTGATAAAATTGGAGGAAGATTTATTGTGCCTAGCTGTAATTCAAGATACGAGATTTACCCATTTTACAACGAGTCCGCCATTACAACACCACCACCGCCGCCGGTTTCAGTTCCTCCACCACCAGGTTAGAACTCTGTTTTTATTGCTCCTTCTATCTAATATTAAAGCTAATTGTGTTTGAAAAACAGGTGGGAATTCAACAGTGCTAGTGATAGCCATTGTTGTGCCTATTATAGTGGTTGCTCTGCTTTTCATAGCTTGTTATTGCTTCCTTGCAAAGAGGGCAAAGAAGACTAATGGCACATCATCTGCATTTGATGTTAAACATTTGAATGTTAATTCTGAGCGTCTCTTTCCTGCTTCTAAGACTTTCTTTATGCACCAGGGGATGATATAACAACCGCAGAACCACTGCAGCTTGATTACAGATCAATCCAAACTGCTACTAATGATTTTGCAGAATGTAATAAGATAGGGGAAGGTGGATTTGGAGAGGTCTACAAGGTAATTATTCCTTAACTGCCTTGGGATATATTTTTATTTTTCATTACCATTTTGTGCCAAATAATGATGGTGAAAACGGTAGGGTACATTATTGGATGGCACTGAAGTTGCTGTGAAGAGACTGTCAAAGTCATCAGGACAAGGTGACGCAGAGTTTAAGAACGAGGTTATTCTTGTTGCAAAGCTACTACATAGAAATCTTGTTAGACTTCTCGGATTTTGTCTAGAAGGAGAAGAAAGGGTACTAGTCTACGAGTATGTGCCCAATGAAAGCCTTGATTACTTCATCTTTGGTTAGTTGCATTTCTTAATGATTATTTGTCCAAATCTTGACACTTAAGTTGCAAATCTTTAAAGCTGGTGCTAATCTATGGATGTGTGCAGACCCTGCAAAGCAAAGTCAGCTAGACTGGTCTCGAAGATACAAGATTATTGGTGGAATTGCTCGAGGGATTCTTTATCTTCATCAAGATTCACGGCTCACAATTATACACCGTGACCTTAAAGCAAGTAACATTCTTCTGGATGTCAATATGAATCCTAAAATTGCTGATTTTGGAATGGCTAGGATCTTTGGAATGAACCAAACAGAGGAGAATACAAGCAGGATAGTGGGGACCTAGTAAGTTTTGTCTTTTAAATTGCTCATACATTTAATGAATTTTTGTGGCCAACATACTAACGTCTTGTTGTGGGTTTCAGTGGTTACATGTCTCCTGAGTATGCAATGCATGGTCAGTACTCAATGAAATCAGATGTCTATAGCTTCGGAGTGTTAGTTCTTGAGATTATAAGCGGAAAGAAGAATAGCAGCTTCTACCAAACAGATGGTGCACATGACTTGGTTTCATATGTAAGTGTTTAGCCAATCAAGTTCCATACTTACCTGACCATGCATGCAAGTGCTGATTGGTTAAAATAATATTCTAGGCATGGAGGCTTTGGAGTAATGGGACACCGCTAGAGCTCGTGGATTCAACTATTGTAGATAATTGCCAAAGGAATGAAGTTGTTCGATGTGTCCATATAAGTCTTTTGTGTGTTCAAGAAGATCCTGTTGAGCGTCCACCCTTGTCAACCATAGTTCTGATGCTCAGTAGTAATACTGTGACATTACCGGCCCCTAGGCAACCAGGTCTTTTCTTTCAGAGTAGACTTGGAAAAAACCCTCTTGATTCAGACAAATTTACAACGACCAAGTCTCTTCTAGTGTCGGTTGATGATGCCTCGATTACAGATCTAAATCCTCGTTGAAGAGAAATGTTTACCTTCTTTGTTTAGTCCAACAATTATTTTCCAACTTTACCTACTTAAACAAATAAACCATATATTGTATTACTGCATCTAAATATATATTTTGTATACCCCCGCTCTAATTCCATAATGGTCGGTATCCACTAACGTATATAACTGGTTTCTTTTGTTTCCTGATTACAAAGAATAATTTGTACAACTTAACAAGACAAATATGGTTATTAAATGTCCATGAACCGAACTGGTGTAAACTCAAAATCCATAATATGTAATTGCTTTTACCAGAAACCCAGTTATAATTACAACCTATATACTTGTTAAATTTCGACATTGTTTATTTTTCAAGATGATTTGATTAAACTTTTTCAAATATCAAAGCCGACTTATTCATCTAATTAACTCTAAACTGATGAGTCTATGTACGTGAATCATATTTTAGAAACTCATTTTTGCAAATTAGGTACGTCAATCATCTGCATAACTTAAATATGCTCCCTGCAATCATCACTTAATAAATACTTCAATCAATATATTTACTAAGTGCATCAAAATTTCCCTACAAGATAGCATCTAAATATATAACGTAACCACCTAACCACTTAATCTCCTATTTTAAAGGACTACGTATATATGGCAACAAATCTGGAATCTATACTATTATATAAAAAGTAAATTTGTTTAGTTGTCAACTTTTCTTTGATTTTAGGTAAATAAATTTGTCTATCTACCTTATTTAAATAATTTCATATACAATTTATTATTAAATAAAAATAAACTTATATTAATAATATTATATTTTAGAAAATATGTTAATTATTTTGTATTAAATTGTTATCTTAAAAATATATTTTCTATTATAAAATCCAAATGAATTTACTGATTGATTTGTAACTTCTCCATGATTTTTGTAATTTTGCTTATTTATTATATTTTTAATAATTTTATGAATAATTTATCATATAATAAAACAAATTTCTATTAATTATATTATATTTTTAGAAAATAAGATAATTCTTATGTGTTATATTGTTATCTTTAAAATATATTTTTTAATCATATAAATTAAAAAATAAGTTAAAATATTAATAGTTAAACATAAAGAAAGCAATGCTGATTTATCAACTTCTCATGATTTTATATTTTGCTTATTTATCATATTTTAATAATTTTATATACAATTTATTAAATAATAAAACAAATGTATACTAATAATACTAGTTTTTTTAAAATAAGATAATTCTTGTGTATTAGATTGTTATCTTGAACATGTATTTTCTCTTAGAAAGTTTAAGTGGATTATCTGATTTGTAATTTTTCATGATTTAGATAATTTTGATTATTTCTCATATTTTTAATAATTTCATATAGAATTTATTATAAAATAAGAAAAAAATTTCAATATATTTTTAAAGATATTTTATTATGTGAGTGTTGTCATTTATAATTAATTTTAAAACATAAATCATAACTTATTATATTGGTTTGAATTAATAAAATATAAACTAACAATAAATTGTACGAAAATTATGACCGCATGTGCGGACAAAACACCTACTTTAAAAATATTTTTGTAGTAGGTGTTTTACCGCATATACGGATTTAAACATGTTATAAGTACTTTTTAATATATCTATTATTAATTAAAAATTAGAATGATAAATTATTATTTATGTTTTCATTTGAAAGTTTTTACGCAATATTTTTTTTGAAAACTTAATTATATATTGTATTCAATATCAATAAATAAATCTGTAAATTCAGTCAATACTTTTTGATTTATATAAAATTAAGCATTGTAATTGATTAATATATAGTTATGTATTTTCTGTTTTTGAATATGTAACTTCTTTATTAACAGATTTTTTCAGATAATATATATATATATATATATACATATGTATGAACTAATTTTTATTTTAAAATATATTTTTAGATTTTGGATAATTATTCTTATTACTAGTTTTAATAATTTATCTAAGAAAATAAATTTTAAATTCATTTTTTTGAGTAATTTATATTTTTATTATTAAGGGTATAAACGATATTAACCTTTTTAATTTTAAAAGTGAAAGTTAAGATGCAATAAAACACTTCAAAAATAATAGTAGATTTTTTTTGTTACTCCTATTTGTTACCTAATAATATGGTTCATATCTGTCTCCTTGCTCATGCATATCTGTGAAATGTGTGAAATGACTATGACATAAGTGTATAGTTATGTAACATCACAAATTTAATACAATTACAAAAATCTCTTAATAATAATTTAAAAAAAAAAAATATTTTACACAAATATGATTACAAAGAAAAACATAAATATGATTACAAAGAAAGACACAAATATAAAAATTAAACCAAGTGATCTTGGCCTAGTGGTAACAGGGCTTCAGCTGAAGCTTCCATCATGGGTTCGATCATCATGGGCTATTAGATTATTAGAACCATGTGGTTAAGTGAAATCATGTGGTTAAGAGATTGGTTTAGCTACCTTTTACTAAACCGGTCATGTATATATACAATAGAATGTACATTGTAAATAATTGACTTGAGTAAATACATTTTCATAACAACCTCCATCGTCTCTTTTAATCTCAAAGCTCAAGTTCTAATATGGTATCAGAGCTGTAAAATTTTCACTTTCACACTCCTTATTCTCGGGAAAATCAGATATTTCTTAACGATTCTTGTTGAATCCGAATCTCTGATGAGTCTTTCGTTACAAGATTTAGAGAATTTGTTCATTAAGCTATGTTTTCTTAAGATTTTTGCGATATATCAGTATATCTCTGTGACAATCGCGCTTCTGATTTCATTTTCTTCTTCTTATTGATCTTTGATTCGCGTATCTTTTCTTGCGCAATCGTTTTTTCTGATTCTTGTTGGATCTTGTTACCGTTATTGTGTGTCAATGGCTAATCCTGCAGAGAATTGTAATCCATCTACGTCCAATGAGAATCCTCCACCGTCGGCGTCTATGATTGATCCAAACTCCAATCCGCTCTATGTGCACTATGTCGATCATGCTGGTATATCTCTAGTCTCTGAGAAACTAGCTGGATTAGGGAACTTCAATACTTGGCGTAGATCGATGCTTATGGCTTTAGGTGCTAGAAATAAAGCTGTTTTTGTTAACAGAATCTAGTCGGAGTTAGCTGAGGATCATCTTGATTATGCATCTTGGTCACGTTGCAACAATATTGTTTGTACTTGGATCGTTAATGCTGTTGAGAAGAAGACTTCTAAAAGTACCATGTATCTGGATACGGCTCGCCAGATGTGTTTAGATATACACGATCAGTTCAAGCAAAGTGATTGACCAAGAACTGCAGAGATAAAGAAGCAAATTTTTGCTGAAACACAAGGATCTCAGAGTGTGAGTGATTACTATACGAAATTGAAGCAGCTGTGGGAAGAATTAAAGAATCATGAGAGTCCGTATACCTGTTGTTTTGGTCATCCTGACTGTGCTAGTCTCAAGAGAACCATTGACAGAGATGAGCAAGATCACATCTTGAAGTTTCTTACTGGTCTTAATAATACGTTCACTGCAACCAGAGGTCAGATGTTAATGATGGAGCCAAGACCAAACATTTCAAAGGTGTTTAATCTAGTTTCTTAAGAAGAAAGGCAGAGGTCGATGAAGAGCACGAGTAATGTAGCTTGCAGTATCTCGGAGTAATGCTGAAGAATCTTTGGTAGCAGCTTATTCAGGAGGATATAACAAACATAAGCCACGTCCTATCTGTTCCCATTGTGGACTTGCAGGAAATACTGTTAACCGGTGTTACAAGATACATGGTTATTCGCAAGGGTATAAACCACCTTCGTTTACTACAAGGTCACAGAATCAAGTTCAGACTCCAGGTCAACAGAAATCTGCACAGAATTGGCCTCCTTGTAAAGAAAATGTTGCAAATATGGTTCTTCAGGACTCTGGTGGTATCTCTTTACACACTCAACAGGGAGTTCACTTGAGTACAGTTACAAGAGAAAAAGTCCACCAGCTTCTTAATGTCTTGAGTATCCACAATACTCCTTCCATAGACAACATTTTACAGATTTCTGGAAGTCATATTCAACTCTCAGATGGAACAGTTTCTACTTCTAAACCTCAACCTCATCTTCTCACTCACATGTCCTCTGAACTTCCTTTTTCAGGTAACACGACTAACTGTCATTTTGTTTCTGCGAGAATGAAGAGCGGCCTTACTATTCTTGCTCCTACTTGGATTGTTGATACTGGTGCTAGTTGCCATGTGTGTTCTTAATTTGAAAATGTTTTCTTTGACTAACTCAATTAGTAACACGACTGTAACTCAACCTGATGGCACTCGCATTCCTGTTACACTTTCTGGTACTATCAAACTTACTACTTGACTAACATTGACTGATGTGATGTATATTCCTCATTTCAAGTTTAATCTTCTGAGTATTAGTGCTCTCACTAGGAATAGTACCATGACTGTTTTGTTCTCTGCATATGCATGTTACATTTTTCCTGATAATCTGTTTCTTAAACTTCAGGAGCATATTCAGGATTACATGATTGGGAAGGGTAACCTCCACAACAATCTCATGTCCTGGATACTCTTGTTTCGTCTGAAAATCTGTTGTGTGCATCTCATCTTGCTCCACTAGATTCATATGCTACTCTATCTCAACAACACACGCATGATTATGACATTTCAATGGTTAATTCTGAAGTTTGGCATCAAAGATTAGAACATCCATCTCAACAGAAGATTCAAGTCCTTTCCAAGTTTTGAAAGTTTTCTTCTGTCAAAACTGATCATTCTAGTTTGTGTAAAATTTACCCTTTGGCTAAACAAAAACGTGTTGATTTTCCTTCTAATCGCATATGTCAAATGAATCATTTGACTTGATCCACATTGATGTTTGGGGTCCTTTCCAGACTCCAAATCATGATGGAAAAAAGTATTTCTTTACTTTAGTTGATGATTGTTCTCGTGTAACATGGCTCTACTTGTTAAAAGATAAAA